AGACTAGAACTGTACTCCATAGGGTTTTCAATGGCTGATTTTTTTGGAAGTAAATTCTTCTGGATGGATTCAAACCTCCAACCTTTCTTCTGTTAGCAGCCAAGCACATTACCTGTGCACCACTCAGGGAATCCACATTTAAGATCAAATTATGTCTCTCATGCAAATTATGATTTATACCCTCACAGAGAATATAGATACAAAATCCTTAACAAATTTTTGGCATAATGAATCGAGCAATATATTTGAAAAATAATGCATTATGAACAAGAGAGTTTTATCCCATGACTGCAAAGTTAGTTTAATATTAAAAAATCAGTCCATGTAACTCACCATACTAACAGAATAAAGGAGAAAAAGTATATGATCATTTCAATAGATACAGAAAAATCATTTGAAAATCTTCATCACTTGCTCATAATGAAAACACAGCAAAATGGGAACATGTGTACTTCCTCAACCTGATAAAGGATATCTTTAAAAATCTACAGCTAACCTCATAACTAATGGTGAAATAGTGAGAATTTCCTACCTTAACTGGGCATTAAAAATAAAAAGATGTCCACCCCTACCATATCTATTCAACAGTGTATTAGAAGTCCCAACCAGTACAATAAGGCAGGGGAAAAAAAGTAAAACTGTATCTATTTGAATATAATATGATATTCTACATAGAAAATCCTAAGGAATTTACAAAACCACCACCAGAACAAGTAAATAAGCAAATTGCAGGATACATGGTCAATATACAAAAATCACTTGTATTCCTATTTACTGTTGTTGTTGTTATATGCCGTCGAGTCGGACCCTATTTCCAGAGACCCCTCCTTGGGTTTCCGAGGCAGTATCACTATGGAAGTAGACTGCCCCATCTTCCTTCTGAGGAGTGGCTGGTGAATTTGAACCACCAGCCTTCTGGTTAGCAGTCAAGTGTCTTAGGTCTTATGCTACCAGAGCTCCTAATTTATTAGCAACAATCAACTGGAAATGAAATTTTAAGTATCCATTTACAATAATATCCGAAAAATACTTAGGTGTAAATGAACAAAAGATATAATATTGTTAAGATGTCAATTCTCCCCAAATTAATCTATTCATGGCAACTCCAATCATAATTCTATTAGGCTTTTCTGTAGAAACTGACAAACTGATTCTAAAATTTATATGGAAATGCAAAGAACCTAGAATACAGAAAGCAATCCTGGGGAAAAAAAGAACAGAATTGAAGGACTTAGTTTACTGATTGAAGATTTACTACAAAGCTATACTATTCGAGACAGTGTGATACTATTATAAGGAACAGACAAATAGATCAATGGAAAAGATGAGAGAATCCATAAATAGATTAAATTCATGTGGTCATTTGATTGTGACAAAAGTAATCTAACAGAGAAAGGAAAAGTCTTTTCAACAAATGGTGCAAAAATAACTAGACATCCATAGAAAAAAATTTTCAACCTCCACCTTATGCCACACATACACTATTAATTCAAGATAGAAATAAACATAAAAATTCTAACTATACTTCCAGAAAAAAAACATATCGACTATCTTTGTGGCATGAGGTAAAGCACAAGTTGTTAAAGAGGTGACAGAATGTAAAAACAATAAAGAAAGAAACACTAAATTAGATTTCATCAAACTTAACATTTTCTGCTCATCTAGACATAGTTGAAAAAAAAATAAAAACAGAAATCACATACTGGGTGAAATTATTTGTAATAAATATATACAATAAAGGACCAGTATCTACAATTATAAAGAACTCCTAAAACATAATAAAGATAATTCAATTTTTTAAGATTTGAAAAACTCTTCACAAAGGAAGATGTACAAATGACCAAAAAGTACACTGAAACAGAAAAAGCTCAACAATAATCATCAGGAAAATGCAAATTAAAACCACAGTGAGATACCACTAAGCATGCATGAGAATAACTGAAGTTAAACAGACAGAGAACGCAAATGCTACTAGCAAAGAGTAAAGCAAGTAGAACTTGTGTACACTGTTGTCAAGACTTTGGGAAAAAAGTCTGGCAGTTTCTTATACGATTAAACATATGCCTATGTAACTCTGTAATGGTGGGCACATGGCACTAAGCATTTGTCAAAATCCATAGGACTATATAACATAAAAACTGACCTAATGCAAACTTTGGATTTTAGTTAATAAAAATAGATCAATATTGGTTCATCAATTGTAACAAATGTAAGGAATGCAAGATGTTAACAGAAAGAATGTACAGTGGGGAGGAGAGTAAATGGGAACTCAGTGTACTTTCTGCACAGCATTTCTGCAAACCTAAAACTGCTCTAAAATATGAAGTCTATTAAAAAATACACAAAAATTAAAACATGATATACTTCTCCATCTTATTTTATGAGATGAGATTGAAACCAAAAATCTGAAAGACAAAAGGAAAAACAGAAGCTACAGATCTGTCTCACTGATGAATCAAGATGGAAAAAAACCTTTAAAGTATTTCAGCAAAGTAAATCCAGGACTATATTTAAAATATATATAAATATATATTATCTCATGACCAAGTTGGTTTCATTCTAGGAAACAGTTATCACTAGAAAATAAGCTAATCTATTTCATCACATTAACTTAAAGGAGGAATGTCATAATTATTAAAGCACAGAAAAGCTGTTTGTAAAAAATCACTATAAATTTATAATTAAAAAAAAAAAAAAAACCTTAATAAAATGGAACAGTCCTAATCTGCTAAAGGAGCTCTGGTAGCGTAGTGCCTAAGGCATCTGACTGCTAATCAGAAGGCTGGTGGTTCAAACCCACTAGCCACTCCGCAGAAAGAAAGCTGGGCAATTTACTTCCATAGTGATACTGCCTCAGAAACCAAGGAGGGGTCACTGTGAGTCGGATCCGACTCAACAGCATTGAGTTGTTTTTTTTTTAATCTGCTAAAAGAAAGCTTCAAAAAAAAAAAAAAACTCTATAGCAAACATTATACATGATGATAAAATACCGACTTTTTTCCCTTATCAGTAAGGAACCATGTAGAACCAGACAACTATGACTACTGTGGCCACTCTCTTCACCACTGTGACGGAACTTAGCCAATGCAGAAAGGCCAAGAAAAAGAACAAAAAGTCTAAGAAGTGCAAATAAATATAATTATTTACAGACTTTGCCTATACATCTCTTTATTTGTATCCTTTTTGCTATAATAAAACTGTAACAGTAGGAAAATATGCCTCGGAAACCCAAGGAGGGGTCGCTATGAGTCGGGGCCGACTCGATGGCAAATAACAACAACAACAACAAGTATGTTTATGAGAGCTCTGGTGGCGTAATGCCTAAGGCATCTGACTGCTAACCAGAAGACTGGCAGTTCAAACCCACCAGCCCCTCCTCGGAAGGAAGGTTGGGCAATCTACTTCCGTATTGATACCGCCTCAGAAACCCAAGGAGGGGTCATCATGAGTTGGATCTGACTCTATGGCAGTGGGTGTGGTAAGGTATGTTTATGATCCAGCAACTCCACTCCTAGGTCTCCACTCCTAGGTATTTAGCCAAAAGAACTAAAAGATTTGTATATAAATGTTCATAGAAACTTTATTCAAAATAGCTAAAAACTGACAACAGCCCAGATGCTTATCAAGAAAATACATAAACTTGAGATATAGTCATAAGACAGACTACTACTCAGCAATGAAAAGAAACAAACTACTGAAAAACACATGAATGAAATCAGAGAGATGAAATCAGAGTGAAAAGTACCTTATTCAAAAGAGTACTTACTATACGAATACATTTACATGTTTCATTGTTTACAACAAGCAGGACTAGTCTAGGATACAAAAAAATCACAACAGTGGTTGCCTAGGGTTGAGGAAGCAAGAAGCATGAGAACTTTCTGAAATGATGGTAATGTTCTATGTCTTGAAAGGGGTTTGAACTAAACAAATGCATGCATTTCTTAATCCTCATCAAATTGTACCCTTAAAACTGTGCATTTCATTGTATGTAAATTTTATGCCCCCCAAAAAAATTCATAAATATTGAACTCTAACTAATGTCACACAAGTGAAAATACTGATGTTTGCAACATACTCTGAAACAAAAAATTAAGATGAATTAATGAATGGGCAGGCAGGTATGTGATAAAATGATACTGGTAATATCTGGATGATGTGCATAAGGGTATTCAGACTGTATAATTCTTCTAATTTTTCAGTATTTTCAAAATGAAATGTTGAAAAAAAATTAATTATGAGCTACTACATGAACAGTATACACCAAATCAATAATAATTACAATAGCTGCTACTAGCACCATTAACTAAGTGATTACCATGTGTGAAACACCATGGCATGTACTTTCATATGTTATATCTAATCTCCATAGTAATCCTGCAAGGTTAGTATTATTAACTCCATTTTCCAGACAGGGGAACCAGAAAGTAATTTGTCCAACCTCATACAACTGTCGTTGTTGTTGTTATTTGCCATCGAGTCGGCCCCGACTCATAGCGACCCCTCCTTGGGTTTCCGAGGCAGTATCACTACGGAAGTAGGAATGCCCAACCTTCCTTCCGAGGAGTGGCTGGTGGGTTTGAACCGCCAGCCTTCTGGTTAGCAGTCAAGTGCCTTAGGCACTATGCTACCAGAGCTCCTCCTCATACAACTGGTAATTGGTAAAGGGAGAATTCTAAACCCAAGCCTGACTCCAAAGGAGGTGCTCCTTCCATTACACAACACTACCTTAACAATGAACTCTAAAGATCTAATTACTTTTTAATACTGCAGTGGAATTTTGTGCTATTAACTAGCAGTAGTAGAAATAACGAGTTAATGGCAGGGGCTTTAGAACTCCATTACACTGTCATACTACACTGTCATTCCATTGTGATGGAATAGACTGTGATGGATGGCTGCTATCCTTGTCTCTTGTCAACAGTACTATGAATGTGTTTTGCAACACCAGACATAAATGCCACAACCACAGAACAATTCTTTCAAACAGAATTCTTTACCTCATCTCTCGTTCTTCATGTTGAGCGATAAGGTTGCTATAAAAATTCTCCAATGTCACTTTGGTCATGGTCACCCTTTCCTTTGTGTGGTTACTCATGGAAGAGCAAGGTGTTGAGCCTGTCATTGCCATGGCTGCTAGAAACAAAGAAACATAGACATATCAGTTTTGGAATTAGAATCTACCAGTTCCATACTCTCCTACCCCACAGACAGGAATGTAAACTGGTCCAAGTTTTCTGGTGGACAAATAGGTAATATATGATGAAAACCATACAAATAATTCTAGTAATTAGTGAAAATGGGTATACAGTATGTTCGCCAAATAGGTAATATGTAATTAAATTGTTAATGTACTTATTGTTAATGACAAAAGAAAACTGAAAATAATTTGAATATATGACAGAAGATTGGTTAATCAGAACAGAGTTCTACAATGAAATACTGAGCAGACAATTAAAATATGTTAAAATTTTTAATGTCAAGCTAAATGTTTCCAATTTAAAAGAACAGATTACAAAATGATGTATACCATGATTTCAATCTTATGTGTATACTATATATGTATACCAGAATTACCAGAAATATATACATCAAAATGTTATTAGTGGCTTAACTCAAGGCTGTAAGAATGCAATAATTTTATAATTATTAATTAATTGTAATTATATACTTGTAATTATATACTTGTTTGTGCTTCTCCATGTTTTCTGTATTCTCTTCAATGAACATGTACCAGCAAGTTACAAGTTACAATTACTGTTTTTATAATTTCTGAAAAAAAAAAAAAAAACAAACTCACTGCCATCGAGTAGTGACAAAAATAGGTATATATGTGTTCTAACACAAGCCTATGGTATTTGTTAAATGCTTGCCATTAATTTTAATTTATAAATTAAAATAAAGACCTGTAACGGAAACAAAATCACAAAGAAAAGCCTGAATCGTAATTCTAGTGATAGAAGATACCATAAAAATAAAAAGACCCAATTTAAATCGTGATACAATGGTACTTCATGGATGAACCTTTAAAACATGCTGAGCAAAAAATAAATCAATCACAAAAGCAGAAATATACAGTCTCACTTATATGAAATATCTAGAAAAGGCAAAGAGTTGGTAGTGGTTATCTAGGAAGAGAGGAAAGTAGGAATCATTGCTTAGGGGGCACTAAGCTTCTGTTAAGGGTGAATCAAAAATATGAGAACCATGCTGATGGCTGCACAACATGAAGAATGAACTAATGTCACTGACTTGTGCATGTTAAAAATGTTGAAATGGCAAATGTTTTGTTAATTATATACTTAACCAGTTGCTACTGAGTTGATTCTAAGTCACAGTAACCCCACAAGTGTCAGAGTAGAACTATTCTCCATGGAGTTTTCAATCACTGATTTTTAGGAAGCAGACTGCCAGGCTTTTCTTCCAAGGTGCCTCTGGGTGAACTAGAACTGCCAACCTTTCAGTTAGCAGCCAAGCACATTAACCATATGTACCACCCAGGAACTTCCATATATACATATAACATATACGTACCACAATAAAGGGAGCTCTGGTGGCATAGTGCCTAACGCATTTGACTGCTAACCAGCAGGCTGGCGGTTCAAACCCACCAACCACTCCTTGGAAGGAAGGTTGGGCAATCTACTTCTGTAGATACACTGCCTTGAAAACCCAAGGAGGGGTTGCTATGAGTCGAACCCGATTCAATGGCACTGAGTTTGGTTTAAAAAAATAAAAAAACAAGGGACTCTAACTCCCTCATATCACATATGACACCAGCAAGGTTAGGTTGCTTATAGAACCGTTTTCCCTAAAATTAAAATCTCATTTTTCCCTAGATGTTTTTGCCAACCTATATTGTCACACTTGACCAGACTGTCCATCAGCCCTGACATCCTCCAGCATTGGTTGTTGTTATGTGCCGTCAAGTCGGACCCAACTCATAGCAGCCCCTCCTTAGGTTTCTGAGGCAGTATCACTACGGAAGTAGATTGCCCCATCCTCCTTCTGAGGACTGGCTAGTGGGTTTGAACCACCAGCCCTCTGATTAGCAGTCAAGTGCCTTAGGCACTACGCTATCAGAGCTCTCCCAGCATTGGTAATAGTGCTCAATATTGTACCTTTATTGTACCTTCCTCGCATATGACCTGCCTCTGTCTTTTTATCCAAAGTAAAGCTGAGTAAAAATCAGGAGCGATCAAGAGACATTTTCAAAGCGCATTTTATGAAAAGTTTTCTCAAGGTTCTCTCCCCTTAATACTTAGCAGCTTTTTAAATTGTTTTGTGGGTTAGACTAAAGCTTTGAAAGAATCTGCAAATGCTTGTTGTTACTAAGATAAGACACTTAACATAAAGCAATTATTTTAAGAAAAAAAAGGTAACCAAAAAAACCCATTGTTGTCGAGTTGATTCTGACTCATAAATACCCTACAGAACAGAGTAGAACTGCCCTGTAGGGTTTCCTAGGCTATAATCTTTACAGAAGCTGATGGCCACATCTTTCTCCCACAGAACGGCTAGTGGGTTCAAACCAGTAACCTTTTGATTAGCAGTCTAATGCTTAACCACTGTGCCACAACATAGGCAAAAATCAAATAAGGAATAATCCTTTCAAAAGAAAGAATAATCCCTTCAAAGTGAAAAGTCAAAATCAAGGCTCTACTTCAGAGTCAAGCATTTTGATTCATGATGTGCAAAAATGATGCATAATCACAAATTTAAGACATTACATTCAAAGCTACCTTACTATAAAATATTATATTTTACAGGGAAGTTTCTAGTGATACTAGAGCACACCCAGATGTTTTCAGAATATCAGCAGATGGAAGAATTGAAAAAAAAAAAAAAAACTGTTTGGTTTGTGAAGCTTGGGTGTGGTTCCCTTATTTGTTAGCCTATACCCCCTCCACCCACAATGAAAACCACATTCAGTCTAAGTATGCTTGATGAAGAAATTTTCAAACCAAATTTAAAAACAAGTCAGAGGCAAGTGAGAGCTTTATACTGTTTCTTGTCTGACAATTTCTGGAGAATACACACACACACACACACACAATTTTAAGTGAAATTACGTCAACATAAAAATACAAAAACAAATTTAGAGTATTTTCACCACCAGGCGAAAACATTAGGCCAAAAAATTCCCTAAAAGAGTGGTTTTCAACCTTTACATACAGTCACTAATGTAATGGCAAAGATTGCACTGTCCTTCCATTAGACCTTTCTTCAAACTTCCTCTTCTCATAAAAGGTTCAGCCTAATTCTAATAATCTTTAATCAAAAGATACAATTACTATTGCCCTGCATCAATTCATTGGTTTACTGGACCCACCAAGTACTTTTACGACAGGGCTTTCCCTCATGCTTTTCATAATTCAAGCATTCAATGGCCACTGGAGGCCATTGCCCTATTGCTTTCATTCTCCTTCTACTCTGCAGAATTCACTGCTGTGGAGTCAGATCCGCCTCATAGCAACCCCTCCTTGGGTTTCCGAGGCAGTATCACTACGGAAATAGACTGCCCAACCTTCCTTCCGAGGAGTGCCTGGTGGGTTTGAACTGCCAGCCTTCTGGTTAGTAGTCAAATGCCTTGATAGGTGAAAAATGTTTAAAATTCTTAACAAAAGAAGGTGGATGTAACCCTCACAAAAGTCAGTAGTAGGAATTGCAAACACAAAAGTAGGTCAAATGAAATCCATTGTTTTATTCAGTCTAGATAGTTAGTTATGCCTGGTCATCTGTTTGACTTTACAATGGTACTCTATAAACACCCCTTCCCTTACCAATGTTTTATTTCTTTAGACCAATGATTTAGTATTTCATTTGGACAATTCAGCAATGGAGCCAAAACTCATGAGTCACAATCTCCTCTTGGAAAACGAGCACCCTAGTTTATACTCAATTTTAATAACGTTACCCCATCTCATGCACAGTGCTATGTACTTAATAAGCATCTTATAAGATATATTTACGAAGTAAAGGATCAGTAAAAAAATAAGACCCTCAACAAGATGGACTGATACACTGGCTGCAACAATGGGATTAAACATGGCAACAATTGTGAAGATGGCACAGGAGCAGGCAGTGTTTCCTTGGGTTGTACACAGGGTTGCTGTGAGTTAGAACCCACGCAACAGCACCTAACACCAACAACAAAGGGAAAAGAAACTAACTTTTCCTCTCCACTCCAAGGAGTTGAGAGTATGTATGTGTGATGAGGAGGCAGGGTTGAGAAATGTAATGGTTTTCTATTCAGAGTTGGAGGACAGAGTTCTTGTCCTCTTATCAGTAAGCTGATAACTAATGTCTGGGATAGGAAGAGGAGTCTGTTACTGTGGTGGTGGCAGTGGAGTGGCAGTTGTTTCATGTTTGAAGAAACCATGTCTACTGCCTGGCTAAGTCACAGTCAAGATGAGCTAAAAGGGAGAAGAGGCACAGGGTCTACTTCATTCCAACCTTCCTCTGTACATTTAAAAAAAAAAAAAAAAAACAAGTTTCTCTTTGTGTCTTTTAGTTATTTCATGGTGCAAGTGGAATATCTGGTCTCTCTACCAGCGTTTCTGCAAATTAACTCTGGCACTGACTTTCCTCTAAATCTTTATAGACTTTTCCCTTTCCTCTGGCTATATTCCTTTTCCACTCCCTTCTAAATCTTCACTGCATTTTCCTGTGATTTTAAGATTATCCGAAACCCAGTACCCTAAGACTAAGCGGGGCACTCAAGGGCACCAGACAGACACCAAAGCGAGTCTTCACATCTCTGCCTGACTCCCAGGTTCCTGAGATCTCTGCTCCCAAGTCCCTACATCCTAGAAAAAGGAAAAGGAGGTGGAAATTGGCCGTGACTGAGATTCCGGATGGGACTGAACAGTGAAAGCGAGCAAACAAAGCTGGCAACATTGGGAGGAGAGGAGAGGCTGGCTCCCCGCCCCAGCTGCACACGGAGAAAGAGAAAGGATCGGGTGGGAAAACGTGGAGAGGCCCGACAAGAGGCCTCTGGGGACATAGAGGAGGAGAAATGACAGGAGGCTGAATAGATGGGCTGCGAGGACGAGAAAACACTGCTAGAACTAGAGCGCCAGCAAGACGTGGGAAACCCGAGAAGGGGTTGAGGGAAGATGGGATGAAGGAAAAGC